CAGGGATGATGACCATCTTCTGGCTCACCTTTGTGAAACGTAGCCTGAGACACCGACGAAAACCCGGCGTATCGCTGCGTCCTGACATCGATCGTAGGGACGCGAGGTCAATGCTCTAACGTCTACGGCATGCGCTTACATGAGTATACCCAGCACCCATGGTCACGGCCGTTGCGCTTCCGTCCCTCGCGTTTCTCTCGCAAGAACGAAACCACGTGTGTTTGTGCCTGGTTCTCGGAGTTGGCTCGCTCGGGTTTCCTCTGTACGTCATGTACGACGTCGGGGAAGGGCCCTTCGCCAAGCTGTAAGCATCCTCAGACGTCTTGGCGATAGTTCTTGTGTGTGTTGGTTGGCCTGGCTTCGCTTGTTCTTCTTCACGTCTGTGGGGCTTCATTTGTCTCCATTCTGAGGCGAGGGGGGATTTCGTTGCCCCCCCGGTCGGATAGCTATCAAATTGAGTTTGCACGATGCTGCCCTGTCCTGCTCCGCTTCTGTCGAGACTGCGCATGGTTTGCCGAGGTTTAAAGAATCGCACGCACTTACGACTCGTTCGCCTGGCCGTGCGGTAGCCATCAAGAGGGCGATTTGTTTCTGAAAAGTTGTTCACAACGCCCGCGTTGCTCCATAACAAACTCGCAATTCTTAGTAGTTAGTGGGAGGGAATGTTATTCAAACGAAGTCGCTCGAGTGTCGTGTTTCCACGCGGCTGTACTCGTCTCGTCAACATGACGCGAAAAATTCCCCAGGGTTGAGAGAAATGGGCGACATTTGCCTGGTTGATGCGCAGGCATAAACCATCCGAAGTATGCACACATATTTGTATCTATTTCGAGTGTTCTAGGTTTGGCTCACCGTCACGACTCTTTCTTCAGTTGGACCGCACCGAAACAAGACTTGCTGTCGCTGTCGCCGTGGTGGTTTCTTGTAATGATTCTCGTCCAACGGAGGCTCTTCGCCGAGCGTGCGGGGGTTTTGCCGTGGCGCGTCGCGATAGCTTCCCAGGCAATGGTGCTATCCCTCTACCCGCTCGTGTGGTGAGGCTTTGCGGTCGGTCATCTTTGCCTGGTAGAGGTGTTTCGTTGCAACGCAGAACGAAGAGTTTGCTGTTTGGGTGCGACAAGTAGCATCAGGCACCGACTCGGAAGTCGGTCATCATCGTCGATTGGTTCGTGTAAGTCCTATCGAAACCAGTTCTCACGTGCAGCAAGCAGGTCATCTTGCACTGAGCCTCGAGTCGGTCATTGTCATCGCCGCCGCCGATGCCGTTGATCGAATACAAAACTGATCCAAATTCTTAGTACGTCCAAGTAGGGCATCTTGCCCTCCCTCTCAGATGCCGGGAGCCTTTGCTTGAAAATCGACCGGCATGTTTTGATGATCGCCTGGATGGGAACACCCGACGTCCTTGTGCGTCCGTTGATCGCTGAAAAGCTGACTCTCCCTGCTATCGCCTAACCACGTCATGCTGCAGGAAAACGGACGATATTTTCAACATCTCCCGAGAGCTTCGTGTCGTCATCGTCTTGACCTTCAGTATGACACCTTGTTTGGGGTGCTCGGCAGAGTATACTGTCTACGGGGCCTCCGGGGGG